TCACTTCCGCCTTCCCGTCAGCAGCGGAAGCGGCGGTGCGGACGTGAGGCGGGGCTGCGGGAGCGGGGCTGCGGCGGGGACGGAGGTGCTCGAGCGGCGGGTGCTCCGCGGTGTCCGTGGAGGGTGGCGGCAGCAGCATCAGCTGCACCAGCAGTTCTCCTTTGGGCCTCTTGTCCCGGAGCCGGCGGCCCGCAGTGCCGGGAGAGGCCTCTGGGAGCGCCCGGGGCTGCTAGGCCGCGCTGCTTGCCAGGCGCTGCCGCCGAGCCTGGCCCGGCCTGTGAGGCTTCCCGCGGGGCTGTCTGAAAGCCCCCGGTGTTCTGGGATGCTTTGCTGTCGTTGGTCTAAAAGAGATTTTGTCGTCTTCCTAGACGTCCAGCAGAAGCCGTTTGTTTTAGTCGGGTTATGAAAAGACTTGGGAGTCATAAGAAATGTAAATTCACTGAAATTTTTCCTTCAAGTAATGTTTTTAAGAAATAAAGTCATCCTCCTTATTCCTCTTTTGGTATAAATGTGGTTGGTTGTGGCTCCATTATGAAATTTGGCTTAAATAGCCATGTGATAACATTTAAACAGGTGTTTTTTTCGATAAGCTTGTGTCAATAGTACGTGATATTTCACCAAGGTTTTGACTATCAAAACCAAACACCATGAGCTTAAAAGAAACCAAGTTTGGTGTATTTTTATGCATTACTTCACCACGATGTTGTTAACCTATGTTATGTGTGTTCAGTTGCAGGTTGTTCAGATGTTGGGATCTCTTCAGATACACCTTGGTTGACCAGAACTGCTCTTGGCTGGAAGCTATGAAGAAACATTTTGCATAGAACTTTTACATGACTGAGGCCATGGCATCTTCAACAAACTTAGATGCTGGGGCCCAGTTAATTGTAGAAGAATGTCCCACCAGCTACAGCCTTCCACCCATGCCAGATATTAAAGTGGAGAATCAGCTTGACTCAAGCACAGAGGAAGGCCCAGCTCAGAGTGTCGCCATGGGAATGAAATTCATTTTGCCCAATCGATTTGATATGAATGTCTGCTCACGATTTGTGAAGTCTTTGAATGAGGAGGACAGTAAAAATATTCAAGACCAAGTTAACTCTGACCTCGAAGTGGCATCTGTCTTATTTAAAGGTTGAACTTTATGGTACAAATTGTTATGTGTGAACTGTGTCATCCTGTTAAGCTGTCGTGTGTTTTTTTTAAAAAGCCTTTGCCTTATATGTGTGTTAATCAGTAATAGTTTTCTAAGATTTCTTCCCCTGACATTTTTATTATATATTTATTATTAATGTAAAATTAACTTCCCCTCTGGTTATTTTTTAAATCAAAATTTTAATTATTTTTTTTTAATTTAAAAAGTAGCAATGTAGAAAGTCTCTAGTGTAATAAGAGCTGGTGCTGGTTATGAAAACAAGCTTGCTTCTTTTGTGTTGCATGTCCTACAATATTGTTGAATATGTGTCTTTACCGAACACTGCTGAAAGAATTGTGTGATCGTTTCAACTTCAGTAGCTTTCTGCAGCACATTTTATCTTTTCACGATGACAAAATAACGTGGGTCATGTGGTTGACTTCCTGTTATCAGTATGGCTCTATAAAGCCTGTAGTTGCAGTGATTGGCTTGTCAATTCAGCTACTTAAAGGTGAATGTTGCTCCAGTTCTGGATCCCTGCAGCTGATCTCCAGATGTTGCTGGACAATTCATCGGAATTGATGCATGCATTTTCATGACTGAGCATATCACTAGAGAACAGAATTAGGACTTCCATCTATTTCCCCTTAACAGCTGTAGTTTCCAGCACTCACTGTCGTATTTCAGACCCTTAGTGATGCATCTTTTCATGAGGTTAAATTTCACCCATTTCCTTTAACAAATACAGACCTATTGTGGATTTTGATGGTTTCTCTGATTTGTATTGTTTGGCTGCAGTTCAGCCATTGTAATTTTCAAACTTTTTTGATTTGCAGGCCCTAAGTGCTTACTAGTGGAGCTGCAGACCTGAATGGCAAAGTTAGACCCATCAGCAATAGGGTTGTTTTTCTTAGGTAACATTTGTGAACCCCTTAGAAGTAGTCCTGCGGATCCAGGGACCGCAGGTCAAAAACCCCTGGTAGGTCTCTTAATTTGATCATGTCAGCTGTAGTAATTTGATTGGTAAGCAAAATGTAATTTCATTTTCATCCTGTTACCCTCTACTTCTTTTAATTGGTTGTCTCCTCAGATTTGTGCTTGGGTTTATGATTGTGAAGTTCTCTATGGTGTGAATTCAGTGTGCGTGTTAGTTAGCTTCCAATCATTAGCTGCTAATGTTAGTTAGTTACTAATTAGTTACTACATTAGTGCACATTGATGTTGAATCAATTTAGCCAATAATGGAGATTAATCCTTCAATATGTCTTTCCAGTATTTAATCAGTTAGCCTCTTAAAAATTATTTGGCTTCTTAGCTACTTCTCAAAATCTAAAGCTACATTTGGGAATTAGAAGCCAAGGTAACATATATATTTATATATATATATGTCATAAAATGCCATTAGATTCTAATGGAAAGCTAGAAAAGTTAGTACAAATGAACACAGTGGCACTGAATGACTTCTTGAAGTCTAAGCAGTGACCTGCAGTTGCATTTTATGTAATTTAGTGTGGAACATCTCTATTCCTGCTGGATAAGTATTCATAAGGCATTCACATTGCAGTTACAAATTTATCCAACAAGAGTGGAAAAAGTCCTGGTGAAGAAAATTAGGGAAGGTCATCTCCATTCATGCAGTACACAGGTTAGGGAGTAGACAAAGGGATGAGCTGAGCAGTTACCTGACTGCATGGCTGACAAGAGCTGCATCATGTTATTGCACTGGAGAGTGTCAGTAAGGATGTGACAGACAAAGTGGGGCCGTCCTACCTGATAAACCCATGTCAGGTGTGTTGAAAGTCTAGACAAAGGCTTACCTCATTTAGACACCAACTTGTCTCTGAACGTGTAGGGTAGCAGCATTGTTTTATGCTAGAGATGAATACAGGCCTTTATTCAACTCTTATAATGCATAGTGGAAAAAGCACGTCACAAAGCCTTCTTAACGTGGATTTTAAAGATCTTGTGAGACTGATGCTTTCTAGATTGACTTAGAATCTATGGCTTGCTTTTAATTCTCTTAATAGTACTAAAATCCTGTCTGTTTTCTCTGTTCAATGTAGCTGAATGCAACATCCACACTTCTCCTTCCCCTGGTATCCAAGTAAGACATGTTTATACTCCATCAACTACTAAGCATTTCTCACCAATAAAGCAATCAACTACCCTAACTAACAAACACAGGGGAAACGAAGTCTCTACAACACCTCTGCTTGTAAACTGTAAGTATCCTCCTGCCTTACTGTTATAATTACTTTGTAAACTGTATGTTAAATGCTTGACCATTTTTTTCTTGGGTGTTACAGTGAACCTTTAATATAGTATAAAAACATTGAGATAGTCTGCTCTAATTTCACATGGTTCCAACTGTAAAATAGTAATCCACCTCCTGTATTGAAATCATGACTGAAGCATATTTTCCAGAAAAGATCCAATTTTTGGTATGAAAAATACAGGTAAAGATTTTTCTGATCCTTTCTAAGCTCTAGGTTAATATGCTTCATATACTTGTTTTCAGAACTGCGCGTCTTGTAAAATTTATTAAAATCGGGTGATTGTCATGGATCTTGAAAGTCAAGAAGGCAGTATTGTTTATGTGGTTTTGTTATTCTTAGTTTTCAAGCATTTTTTTTATAAATTAATTCTCTGTAATTTACTTCATCTATAAATTGTTTCCTCTATACATTGTAAGTCCATTGTTAAAAAAAAAGGCTGCTTGCATGGGAAAAATATAGCTGCAATGTAGGCCTCTGAACAAAATATGCAGACTTTCCAGAGAAAAAAATCAAACTTTAGTGAATAGGAAGAGGACACTGAACATTTGCATATGTAACTATTAGCTAATTTTGTTATTATATAATGTGGATAGTTTATTATATATTCCCTCCTGAACACCTTTCAAACCTGCTCCAAGTTGTAATTACCAAAAACATGCACCTGTGCAGCATTTACTGTGGGATCAGAGATTTTTTTTTTTTCTTTATAATCTCTTAGGAATTATTCTACTTTTAATACTTGGTACTTCTTATTAAAAATAAAGACCCCAAACCCCACCATCTTTTTCTTCCACTGTAGATGTCACATTGTGTATGGTTTTGTAATGTCTGATTTATTCCACATTGCAGTGAGTGAGAATTACGCTATGGGCTTTATTGAGCAGCATGACAGATCTCCTGATAGCATGTGATCTCTTGGAAGTAATTTTTAAACTACACAGCCTTAATTTGTCCAGAGATGCTTATTGTCTTTTGATAAATGCCTTTGCTTCCCTTCTTGCAGCTTTATCAGTTCATCAGCTGGCGGCTCAAGGAGAAATGTTGTATCTGGCTACGCGTATTGAACAAGGTGAGATAGAGGGAGGTTAAATGCCTTCCTTTATACCCTGTTGTGCTTGACTTTTCCCCCAAAGCTGTATTTACTGAAAAGCAGGTAATGAGTTGCCGAGTCTATATACTTTGTAATGAGCCATGTAGATGGAAAGTAAATCAATTCTGGAGTGTCAGTAACAGCTAAAAATGCATATCATGGTGCTTTGATAAGCATGGGATTTTTCAAGTATTTAGATATTAAAATAAATCAACAGTTTCAGTCAGCCAGTTGTTAAAAAAAAGTTACTTTTCCTTTTTCCAGCTACACTAGAATAATAGGGTCTACACAATTGTTTCCACAAAACACCCTATTGATTACATGAACTTCAGGGGGGAATGGAGCTATGCTATCTATATTGCTTTAGAAGCTACTTCTTTACAAGAATGTATAACCTCACTCTATTGAGAAAAAAGACC